AGCCTCTCGAAGATAAGTACAGACGTCTCCGTATCGATCTGCAAGACTCTACAAAACATGCCAGTAATGGCACCTAGTCTCTAAGACTAGGTAAGCCGGTTACTTACAAAAGTTGAGCCAGTTTAATAATGATATTTTTTAAAGCATAGTTTTATATGTATACCGAAATAGAGTTAAAACAAGCCTACACAGCAATAATCATAACAACCTCCCAAGACTAGGTAATACAGAGTCAATAACTCTAGTTGAACACATTGAAATATCTCAATAACAAAATACAATATTGTTTGGATAACGAGTTAACAGTACATTCAAAAGGAAAAAGACTCCAAGGGACTGCGATGACCAAGCAGCCCTACCTTGAATTCGTGCGATCACGAAGCTAACTCTGCCTGAGTCAATTATCTCTAATACCTGGATCTGCACAAAAATATGCAGAACTATAGTATGAGTACACCACGATCAGTACCCAGTAAGTATCAAGACTACGAGGTATAAGTCAAGACACCTACTAGTCATAAAACCTTTGCAGTATATAAGTATAAATATAATAATGGAAACGAGAATCAGTAATTGGTGACAAGGAATAAACATGTGATATAAATAGTGAAGTAATCTGAACACCGTTAAAATACCAGTGAAATGACAACTGAATAATCAAATCGTTTTAACACAAGTTTCACCACAAAATTACTCCGAGATACCTCTTTTCATGACCACAAGTCACAAGTCCCATATCACAAGTCATATACTCACGCCACCTTGTGCCCGCATTATTAATCACAACCACATGGACAACTCACGAGTTAATATCTCAATCCGTCCAGCATGGTCACAAGCTCACAATCACAATCCGCCCGGCATGGTCACATGCTCAATATCACAATGAAAGCAGATAATACAAGGATACATGGGCATGATCACTGAATGTCAAGTTTCATAATCCTGAACTGGTGTAAGCGACATGCTACGGTGTATGCTTGTGCGAGTATACTATTACAGTCCAAGTCAACAAGTAATATCGAAGACATCGAGTAGCTCATTGGAAGCAACACTACAATTCACGTAAGGTACATAACGTACACAACGAAAATCACTCTATCAGATGAATATCATCAACATTGTGCCCCCAAGCCAACACATATCAACCCTGACATAGGGACCCTTATCTCTCTATATTGACAATATCATAATAGCAACCCTTATCGTTCTGCCCATATGATAGTAGACTATAATTATGTAATTTAGATACTATTTACACTCGAATTTGGCCGCACTTTATCAATGTTTGAAGGTTAAAAGATAACAAAATGCTCTAATTAAGAGTTTTATGTTTTGCAGGAGCCACTCCGAGCTATGAGGAAGCTAAAGAGTGTTTTGGAGTCAACATGGAGCGTGGAAGGCCAATCGGAGGTTAGCACGGTCGAAAAGGAGAAAGAAAAGCAAGTGGAAAAGTCCCCTCCAAGTGTGCGGCCGCAGATTGAATCGCGGATTGGCCGCGCACTGAGGCCGAATACCGGGCGAAATCCACGGTCCAATCCGCGACCGCGGAGCTAATGGAAGCCAATAACCCAGGGTCAATTATGTAATTTTCAAGGCGTCTAACCTAAACAAATATGAAGCCTAATTCGCCTAGAAGAGAAGGAGAGCTATTTTTAGAGAGATTTTGAAGGCAACACTGGAGAAAGATAGAGAATTCCCTTAGAGTTTTCATCTTCTTCTTTTTAATTCCATTGTTGATTATGACTTTCTATAGTGAATTGTTATCTATTAGTATGAGTAGCTAAACCCGTCATCTAGGGTTGATGGAACCAATTGTTGGATGAAATCTTGACTCTGTTTTGATATAATTGAGCCATTTTTACTCTATGATTGTTCAACTACGTGTTGTCTTGTGATTAATTAAAAGGGCCCTTGATTAATCGTGTCTAGTTATCTTGTGTTGTTTGAGAAAGAACACTTGGTTAGATTATTGTTGAACAATACCACTTTCGGGTAAGTTAAGAGATTAATTACTTGAATTTAAAAGCAGGGTTAGAGATAATGAAGCTTTGGTAGGATAATTCTGAGTTGCATAAATTGTTAACTAGAGTAGTTAGAGAGAATGCTTCTAGTAAATTATTGTAATTGATCGAGAGATAATTGCGGTAGCCCAGAACTCATATTCCTTATAGAGTGTTACGATGAGATTATAGCTAACGTGTCAGGAATTAATCCGGCAATTGGGGAAATCAATAACCCTAGACCATTTTACCATTGAATTCAACTCTATTCTTGATTATTGCTAGTTTTATATTCATTTTTTCTTAGTTAACTAAATTCTGCTCATTATCCATTAAAAATCTTGCATCAGGGAATTGTTTGTGCTTATCATTAGAAGTGTTAAAAGTTGTAGTAAATAGGTTAGTTCCCTGTGGGATTCGACACCGGACTTGAACCGGATTATATTTGCAGCGACCGCTTAGTCCTTTTTATAAGGCATAGTTCGGCGTGATCAAATTTGCCGCCGTTGCCGGGGAACTAATGATGTTATTTATTGCAACTTGGAAGAATTGCTAGGATTACTAGTTTAGATCAATTTTCTATGGTGTTAAAAATACTTCCATTGAAATTCTCACGTTTGAACTCTTCTGTGACTCAGGTGCATGCCTAGAAGCTCCTTGAGAACTGGTGAACTCTATGAAGGACTCTCAGATCCCGAGAAAGCATTCCGAACATTGAACCGGGCTAACAAGAAGGGCAAACAGCTAAAACAAAACAACAATTCGAAATTGAAATGGGTGACATAGACAATGTCATCGAGAATAACATGAATGATCGAGATGACCCAAACGTCAGAGTGGTAGCACCTCTTTTGCTGGAAGCTGCACTTTATGATTGGGCGCAACCAACTACTGATAACCTGGCCACAACAATTGCGGTTCCTCAGATACAAGCGGAGACATTCTAGATTACCACCAACATGCTGCACCTGTTGCAGAATAAATGGCTGTTCTCGAGTCATACATCAAAGACCCACAACAACATTTGAAGAACTTTCTATCAATTTGTGTCACTCAAAGACAGCCGAATATGACTCTTGAGGCAATTAAATTATTACTGTTCCCATTCTCAGTGACTAGGGAGGCTCAAACTTGGCTGAATTCACTCCCAATAAACTCCATTGCTACTTGGCAGGAACTAGTCAAGCCGTTCTTAAACAAGTTTTATCCATCCAACAAAACAGGGAGGCAAATTGATGAGATATTGCAATTCAGGCAGAAACCGACTGAGACTTTGCAAGAAACTTGGGAGAGTTTTAACGGTATGTTGGTGAAGTGTCCGCACCATGGCATTTCGGATCAGATGCTGGGACTGAGATTCTATATGGGTTTGGCTGACGGTCTGAAGGCCAATGTAGATGCTTCTGCTGGGGGTGCATTCTTGAGCAAAACATTCACAGAGTGTAAGATTCTTCTTGACAAGATGTCTCAAAATTCACGCTGGATGACGAGAGAAAAAACACTCACTCCAATAGTGCATTCAGTCCCTCTTGACCCAAACAATACAAATGCAGAAAATATAGCCACTCTCATGACCCAGATGAGCTTGTTGACTAAGAAAATCGATGAGATGGGTACAAAACAGGTTCATATTGTTGATACCACAAATGGAGGCTTATTCACTCCTTGCATGAACCAGTCATATGTGTGCTCGTGGAGTGGAGAGAATGACAACCAGGGTTTTATAGAAGACATGAATTATGTCAATAATTTCGAAGGTCAGAGGCAAGGTGGGAAACAATGTGGACCAACATCAAACCAGCAGTACACACTAAACCAGCCACAGCACAACCCTAATCCAGGAGGAGCACGACCACAAGGCCAAGTCGTGCCTTATCAAAGGCAGCAGGGCTATAATCAGCAGCACCAGCAACAGTTGGCCTACCAAACACCTCATCAACAGCAGGACAATAACATGATTGAAATCAAGGGCATGCTGCAACAACTCATTGGGACAAATGTAAAGATGCAAGAGAAGTTAGCTGCACATGATTCAGCAATCAAAGGCATTGAAACTCAATTAGGACAGCTATCTATGGCCTTGAACAATCGCCCATAAGGAACATTGCCTGCAGATACAAATATTAATCCAAAGGAGCAGAACCCAAATCAGCTCATGGTAGTGAGTCTCAGGAATGGAAGAGATTTAGACAGGGAGCAAGAAGTTGCTTAATCTAGGAGAGAGACAATGCCAACTACTCTAGTTACATTAGAGACAAATGAGTCAGCAGAGCTCACCGAGGTTGTAATTAAACAGGCACATGTTGACAAGGGTATAATCAGCAGCACCAGCAACAGTTGGCCTACCAAACACCTCATCAACAGCAGGACAGTAACATGATCGAAATCAAGGGCATGCTGCAACGACTCATTGGGACAAATGGAAAGATGCAAGAGAGTTAGCTGCACATGATTCAGCAATCAAAGGCATTGAAACTCAATTAGGACAGCTATCTATTGCCTTGAACAATCGCCCACAAGGAATATTGCCTGCAGATACAAATATTAATCCAAAGGAGCAGAACCCAAATCAGTTCATGACAGTGAGTCTCAGGAATGGAAGAGATTTAGACAGGGAGCAAGAAGTTGCTCAATCTAGGAGAGAGACAACGTCAACTACTCCAGTTACATTGGAGACAAATGAGTTCGTAGAGCTCACTGAGGTTGTAATTAAACAGGCACAGGTTGACAAGGGTATAATCAGCAGCACCAGCAACAGTTGGCCTACCAACACCTCATCAACAGTAGGACAGTAACATGATCGAAATCAGGGGCATGCTGCAAGAACTCATTGGGACAAATGGAAAGATGCAAGAGAAGTTAGCTGCACATAATTCAGCAATCAAAGGCGTTGAAACTCAATTGGGACAACTATCTATAGCCTTGAACAATCGCCCACAAGGAACATTGCCTGCAGATACAAACATTAATCCAAAGGAGCAGAACCCAAATTAGCTAATGGCAGTGAGTCTCAGGAATGGAAGAGATTTAGACAGGGAGCAAGAAGTTGCTCAATCTAGGAGAGAGACAACGCCAACTACTCTTGTTACATTAGAGACAAATGAGTCAGCAGAGCTCACCGAGGTTGTAATTAAACAAGCATAGGTTGACAAGAGTGAGGAGAAGGAAGGTGAGCAACTCCCAGAACAGGTGATAGAAAAAGCTTCTAGCAAAGAAAAGACACAAGGTAGTGGGCAGAGGTTGATTCCTGCACCATTCCCTCAGAGGTTGGCAAAGCAAAAGAAAGATGATCAAACAGGAAATTCATGGAAATGCTAAGAAAAATTCAATTGAATATTCTACTGATGGATGCTTTAAGGGAAATGCCTGGTTATGCAAAAATTTGACTTCCAGGACCTGCCCACTGTAACTCTAACGCAGACCTACAACGCATAGTGACAAGGCCTATGGCTCAAAAGGTGTCTGATCCAGGTAGTTTCACTATCCCATGCACCATTAGGAGTTATGCTTTTGCTAAAGCATTGTGTGACTTGGGAGCCAGTATAAATTTGATGCCCTTAGCAATCTATACAAAACTGGGCATTGGCAGAGCTAGACCGACCTCAATGTTGCTGGAATTGGCTGATCGGACAGTCAAAAGACCGACAGGAATTCTTGATGATGTGCTTGTTCAAGTGGGGAAATTTGTATTCCCTGCAGACTTTGTCATTCTTGACTGTCAAGTGGATGAAGAGATACCAATCATTCCGGGAAGGCCGTTTTTAGCCATTGGGAGAGCATCGATTGATTGTGAGATTGGAGAACTGAAAATGAGGTTGAACAATGAAGAAATAATATTTAATGTTTAACAATCTATGAGAAGGCCTAATGAATTTGCAAATTGCTCGCTAGTGGAGGCCGTAGATGTAATACTACAAAAGGAGGATGAGACTATTAATGTTAGGGATCCGTTAGAAGCATGCTTGATGAATCTGGAAAATGTGGACGGTGAGGAGTTGGCAGAGTGGGTCATGGCTCTCGAAGGTCAAGGGTTCTGGAAAAGGGAACCCGGTTCGAGCCCCTACACTTAGAAGAAAGAACAAGACCACCTACAAAACCATCGATAGAGGAGCCACTACAGTTGGACCTGAAACTGCTTCCAGTTCACCTCAGGTACGCTTTCTTAGGGCCCAATTCTAGTTTACCTATTATTATTTCATCCGGTTTGCTAGCTGTGCAGGTAGAGCAACTCCTACAGGTGTTACAGGAATGTAAGACTGCTATTGGTTGGACCATGGCAGACATAAAAGGTATCGGCCCAGCTTTTTGTATGCACAAGATTCTCTTGGAAGAAGGGCACAAACCTTCCAGAGAACATCAACGAAGGCTGGACCCGAATATGAAAGAGGTGGTGAAGAAGGAAGTGATCAAGTGGTTAGATGCGGGTATCATCTTCCCCATCTCTGACAGCAATTGGGTCAGCCCTGTTCACTGTGTTCCAAAGAAGGGAGGAATGACGGTCGTACAAAATGAGAATAATGAGTTGATCTCGACTCGTACAGTTATGGGGTGGCGGATTTGCATGGATTATCAGAAATTGAACACAGCCACCCGGAAGGACCATTTCCCCTTCCCGTTCATTGACCAAATGTTGGACAAGTTGGCTGGGCGATCTCACTTGTGTTTCTTGGATGGATATTCAGGGTACAATCAGATCTCAATAGCCCCCGAAGACAGAGAGAAAACATCCTTCACCTGTCCATATGGCATCTTTGCCTTTCGGAGCATGCCTTTTGGACTTTGCAATGCACCAGCTACATTCCAGCGATGTATGTTAGCCATTTTCACGGACATGGTTGAAGACATTATGGAGGTATTTATGGATGATTTCTCCATGGTGGGGGATTCATTCGAGGATTGTCTTCATAATTTAAGAAGAGTGCTCAGAAGATGTGTGGAGACAAATTTAGTGCTGAATTGGGAAAAATGCCATTTTATGGTACAAGATAGTCTTGGGGCATCAAGGGTCCAGTAAAGGAATTGAGGTTGACCATGCTATGGTTGACATGGTTGAGAAGTTGCCACTGCCACTTTGGTCAAGGCAGTGAGAAGTTTCCTTGGGCATGCCGGGTTCTACAAGCGATTCATAAATAATTTCTCTAAGATTGCTAACCCTTTATGTAAACTCCTTGAAAAGGATCAGCCCTTCGTGTTTTCTAATGATTGCAGGTTGGCATTTGAGGAGCTGAAGAAGAGATTGGCGACCGCACCCATAATTGTTGCACCCAACTGGGAGCAACCGTTCGAGCTCATGTGCGACGCAAGTGACTATGCTATAGGAGCAGTCTTGGGGCAGCGAAAGTTTAAGCTAAAGCACCCAATTTACTATGCAATCAAAACGCTAAGCGGTGCACAGCTCCATTACACCGTGACGAAAAAGGGGATGTTGGCTGTAGTTTTTGCATTCGACAAATTCAGGTCGTACTTGATTGGTTCAAAAGTTATTTATACTGACCATGCATCAATAAGGTACTTGATAGCAAAGAAAGAGTCAAAGCCACGCTTGATCCACTGGGTTCTTTTGCTACAAGAATTCGATCTGGAGATCCCTGACAGAAAAGGGACAGATAACAAAGTAGTAGACCACCTCTCAAGGTTGGAAGGAGATGAAAAGAAGGTAGAGGTTGAAGATATAACAGAGACATTCCTGGATGAACAGTTACTAGCAGTGACAATGGAGAAGACGCCATGGTATGCTGATATTGCTAATTATTTAGCAAGCGGTATTGTACCTTATGAACTCTCTTCAATGCAAAAGAAAAAGTTCTTTCGCGATTGTCGGTCTTATTATTGGGGTGAACCTCTACTTTTTAAAATATGTGTAGATAACATGATCCGGAGGTGTATCCCCAAGAAAGATCAACATTCTGTTTTGCAGGCTTGCCATGCTTCACCATATGGTGGACACTTTGGAGGAATTCGGACAGCGGCTAAGGTGTTGGAATCGGGTTTGTATTGGCCAACTCTGTTCAAGGATGCCCATGCTTGGGTGAAAAGTTGCGATGAGTGCCAAAGGACAGGCAACATATCTCGACGTCACGAGATGCCGATGACTACTATTCAAGAGGTAGAGGTATTTGACATGTGGGGGATTGATTTTATGGGTCCATTTGTCAGCTCGTATGGTAACAAATACATAATGGTGGCAGTTGACTATGTCTCCAAATGGGTTGAAGTTGTGGCTCTCCCAACCAATGATGCAAAAGAGGTGATATGCTTTCTAAAGAAAAACATCTTCACACGTTTTGGCACCCCGAGAGCTATAATCATTGATGGTGGAACCCATTTTTTGCAATATAGCATTCGCACGACTGTTTAAAAAGTATGGAGTTCGCCATAAGGTGACCACACCTTATCACCCGTAGTCGAGCGGGAAAGTTGAAATGTCAAACTAGGAAATCAAAAGTGTCCTAACCAAGACAGTGAATGCGACAAGGACTGATTAGGCAAAGAAGCTGGATGATGCATTATGGGCGTACCGCACAACATTTAAAACTCCAATTGGTATGTCGCCATACAAGATGGTGTTTGGAAAAGCATGCCACCTTCCGGTGGAGCTTGAGAATAAAGCCCTTTGGGCAGTGCGGCAGTTGAATTTGGATATGGAGACCGCAGACACCAGTAGAGTCACTGAGTTACATGAACTCGAGGAATTCAGGTTCCATGCATTTGAGAATGCAAGATTGCACAAAGAAAGGATGAAAATGATGCATGATAAGCATATTCTAGATCGGAACTTCAAACCCGAAGATCTATTGTTGCTATTCAACTCGAGACTAAGATTATTTCCGGGTAAATTGAAGTACCGATGGTCAGGACCCTTCAGAGTGGTGTAAGTGTTCTCAAGTGAAGCTGTAGAAATTGAATCCGAAGATGGAACAAATAAGTTCACGGTGAATGGGCAAAGGTTGAAACATTACCTTGGAATGGTCGAAGAAAAGGGGGATAGAGTGGTGATATCTTTTTAAGAGCCCCAATACACGAGCCAAGAGTAATAATGAAAGCCTGCGTCGTGCCGCGACGTTAAATCAGGCACTTCTTGGGAGGCAACCCATGGTTTATTGTAAATCGTCGTGCCGCGACGTTAAATTAGGCGCTTTTTTGGAGGCAAACCATTATTTTTCTTTGTTCTTATTTTTGTAATTGATTTTTGAACGGTGACAATATTGATCGATATACTAAGGTGCAGGACGGAAAGTATGCGCAGCGAAAGGACTCGGGGTGACGAAATTATCCCGGAGATAGGCAAAAGTGCGAAAAATCAAAAAAAAATTTGATGCCTCAATCCGCGGCCGCGAATTCGACCGCGGATGAACCGTGGATTTTGCACATGGTTCTGTCCGCGGACGTGACCGCGGATGCAGCGACGTACGGGTTCAGTTCAAAATTTTTTTTCTTTTCACTACTCACTCCCCATTTCTTCCCCCCCCCCCCCCCACAAC